GTATTCCATCTGGTGAGGTCCATGTGTATAGTCATTTCTTATGCTGTCTTAAAGAAGGTATTTGAAATGAACAAATCATTGGTTTTGCATAATTCTATTATGCATTTTCCAGCATCATTTCTATCACCAAGACAATATTTTCCAACTACTGATCCTTCCTCTTTGCTCCCAACCTTTGCATTCTAATCACCAGTAATGCTTAATACATCTTGATTGCATAGTTTGATCAATTTCAGATTGAAGAAATTGGTAGAATTCTTCCATTTCATCCTGACTGGCTTTAGTGGTTGGTGCATACATTTGAATAATAGTGGTATTAACTGGGCTTCCCTATAGGTGCATGGATATTATCCTATCACAGACAGCATTGTACCTCATGACTGATCTGGATATGTTCTTTTTGACGATGAATGCAACACCATCCCTCTTCAATTTGTCATTCCTGGCATAGTAAACCATGTGGTTGTCAGATTCAAAATGACCAATACCAATCCATTTTAGCTCACTATTGCCTAAGATATCGATGTTTATGCGTTCCATTTTATTTTTGACAACTTCCAATTTTTCCAGATTCATACTACGAACATTCCATTTTCTGATTTTCGATGGATGTTTACAGCTGTTTCTCTTCATTTTGAGTTGTCCCCGTCAGCAAATGAAGGTCCTGCGGTCTCTTCTCCCATGGGCTTAACTCCATTCACCTTATCACGCACGGTCAACTCTACTCTGAGGAGGCAGCTCTTCCCCAGTTGCATTTTGAGTGCCTTCCAACCTGTGGGGTTCATTTTCCAGTACTGTGTCTGACAGTGTTTCTCTGCTATTCCTAAGGTTTTCTGTGACTAAATATTCGGAAGTAGTTCGTCACTCTTTCTTCCTAGTCTGTCTTTGTCTGGAAGATCATCTGAAACCTGTCCACCATGGGTGACCCTGCTGGTATTTAAAATACCGGTGGCATAGCTTTCAGAATCATAGCACAGCACAAGCCACCACAGTACAAAAAACTGACAGACGAGTAGTGGCTGTTTGGTTTTAAGTGGAAACTATCACTTTAAATTTTGAGGAGCTCTGTGCACATGCACAGTAGAACCCTCCAGGGGTAGGTGTGGGGTGTCCATTCACTCAGGCATACCCTCTGGTCACCAAAATGGAGGTGCGCAGACAGTGAGAGACCAATGAACAGATACCAAAAAAAGAATGTCCACACCTGTATCTCTGAGGTTCTGTCAGGCGTTTGTGGCTGTTCTGATCCTTCCTCTACTTGGTCTCTCTCAAGATGGTGGCTCCAGGAATACCTGAACATCTTGAACTAGAAAGCAATGGATTTCTTGATTCTGCTACAAAATCCTCTATCTGTAAGCCTTCCAATCTTCTAAATATTCCTTTATATGTGGTTCAGAGTTCTAGCACCATTCCCTCAGCCTTCTTGGCCTGGTATTCTGTGTTATTGGTTATGGAGCTCCTCACTGCACGTCTACCCGATCTACCATCTTGATTGGATCTCCAATTTATGTCCCATAATATGCACTATTTTGGTAAACGTTACATGTGCATTTATTAGATGGAGTATACTGTAAGTCTCAGTTGGGTCAGGTTGGTTGGTTATATTGTTCAAGTCTTCTATATATATATTTCTGATTTTCTGTCTGTTTTTTCTATTCATCGTGAAGTAAAGGGTTTTGGAATTTCCTATTTTAATTGTGGATTTGTCTTTATTCTCCTCACAGTACTCAGTTTTTGCTTCATGAAAAAGACATCAAAAAGTTCATAGAAACATGAAAAGATAATGAAAATTTTCCACAAACACTTTGAAGTCCCCTCATATTTTGTTGTTTTGCTATTAAGTATGTTAACATGATTTTATCTGGTTTTCTATTTGTTTCAGTCAGGTGAGTAAAACTGGCCCTGTTAATTCCCCTTTAGCTGAGAGTAAGAATTTGCTTTTTTATAAGTGTAAATATAAAAGGATTAAATTAATATGTAATCAACAGAGCTTCTGCCAGCTAAAAGAATGTACCCCCACTGTAGCTGCACACATACTTTTATAGTTTAGATTATGTTCCAAAAAACATATGCAGAAGTCCTAAGCCCTGGCACCTAGGAATGTGATATTGTTGGAAAATGAGGTCTTTGATATGTTATCAGTTAAATAAGTTGTACAAGAATAAATTAGGTCCTAATCCCATCTGAGTGGTTGTACAAAAGAGAAAAAACAGAGAGAGACATAGGGAAAGTACAACGTGAAGATACAGCTACAAACCAAAGAACACCAAAGAATGACTGGGGCCATTTTGGAGAGAACATGGCTAGACTGACACCCTGAATTTGCACAATTAGCCTCCAGAATTGTGAGATAACAAATGTCTGTTCTTGTAAATTTACAAATTTATAGTACTTTGCTACAGCCATTCTCACAAATCAATATGCTTACTAAACCTCTCCTGCCCCAAGAAAATGTAGCATGCAAGGTTGGTTTTTGTTGCTGTTATGTGCTCAGATTCAGATCCATAGTGACCTTGTATAAAGTTTCCAAGGAGGGGCTGTTGAGTTTGAACCTCCAGCCCTATGATTCAAAATGACCTTGTGGTCCAGTGCATTATCCCAAGCATACAAGATAGAGATGAAAAATCTATCCTTGAAGAAAATGACTCAAAAATAGAATCATCATCTCTCCATGTGTGGCCAATAGAAGTGGAATGTAATTTAAAATTTAACTGTTGATGAATTTAAAAGGTTAATAGAAACCAGATGAAATTAATTTTAATAAATTTTATTTAACACAATACACCCAGATAGTATTATTTCAACATATAGTCAATATAAAATTATTGGGATATTTTACATATTTTTTTTTTTTACTAAGTTTTCAGAATCTGGTTTGTATGTTGCACTTGTAGCATGTCCCAATTCAGACTAGTCACATTTCAAAGGTTTAGTAGTTTCACATAGCCAGTGGTTACCACACTGAACCAAGTATAACTTAAGACCAACTTAATAAGACTCTGAAATTGAAAAATAGAAGAAAGATAAAAGATGCGGTACAGCAATAAGACAAAACTGAAAAAAATTATCCACTCATTTCCCTTCAGTCCTGCACTCTACAGCTAGTGATTCCTGTGAACACCTGTTAACAATCTGACAGAGGTCTTTTTTCTTTTAATTCTAGCCAGAGCAGTCTACTCAGTCTACATTCAGTAAAAACAAGACAAGTCAACTTTCATGCTTTCAAGAAGCTGCCTATAACTAATGACCAACAAGAAGTTGGGGGATTAAAAAGCTCTAACTTTTTAACCTGTCCATGGCTAACTCAGAACTATGTTCTACAGGGTCTCAAAGAGTCCTTCAGTAGGCGTGGCTCCAATTATTCACAGTAGTAACTTATTTCTTGATGAAATGGACTTCTTTCCCTTCCTGCTGACTTACTGCCCCATTTTCCTATCAGTGTAACCTGAGATTGCTTTTCAAACACTTGATATTCAAATTCTATGTCTGCTTCTGGTACAAGCAAACCATAGCACATAGCTTAGGAAACAAATTGGGCACCAAAATAACTTCATGTTGTTAACTGTCATCAAGTCAGTTCTGACCCATAGCGACCCTATAGCAAATGGATCAGAAAATGTACTGAAAAATCAATAGAAGAGAGTTTTCCTAATTAAAAAAAGGAGTTAGTTTAGAGTGTCATTTTTGGGGGAGTAGGTGATAAAGGAGCAGCAACTTTGACATATATCCTAGCATTTTTGCCTTTCATTCATTAAGGTAATAATTTTTAGATATCCAGGCAAAGTAAACTAATTATTTTCCAAGGGAGAATATCAAGGTAGCCTGAGACTTCTCTAAGAATTATTCAGTGTTCAAATGCTAAGGGAAAGGAGATGAGACCTAAGAATATTTATCTCAGCCAAGCTGACATTCAAGTTTAGAGGCGAGAGACAGACAAATAGTCTCAATTATAAACAACCTATGAACCACATGCTCTTTTTTAGAAAAACACAAGAAAAATCAAATCTTCCTAATTAAGAGAAGTCAGTATATATATAAAGTGTGACCTTAAGGTCAGCAGTTCAAAACTACCAGTCACTCCGTAGGAGAAAGATGAGGCTTTCTGCTCCCATAAAGATTTATAGCCTCGGAAACTGTGTACAGGATCGCTACGGGTCAGAACCTACTAGATGACACTTAACAACAACAACTTAAAGACTACCAAATTAAAAAAAAAAGTAGATCATAAAGCTTCAAAATTATCCAAAGAAATACATGAACATATATAAACCATGCTGGAAGGACCTTATATATAGCATTTGGTAGAAGTGATCGTAGGGGAAAATAGGATAAAATGGAAGAATCAAGACTTAAATATATTTCTTATGCTAATACAAATAAATGGTAGTAAGTTCACCCTTTGTAGAAAGCCAGAGATCATCTAAAAGAAAAAACTCACTAAGTCCAACCATACATTTATAAGAAAAAAACCCAGTAGAATTAAAAATTAAAAAGCTTTGGTTCTTTGAAGACACACAAACAAAAACCAGATAAACATTGTTATAATAAAATTAAAAGAAAATAGACAAATCCACAAAGTTGTAAATGAAAAAAAAAAACAAAACTTGATTTGTTGTTGTTAAGTACTGCTGAGTCAGTTCGGACTCATTGGGACTCTGTATAGGGTTCCCAACAAACAGCTGGTGAGTTTAAACTACCAATCTTGAGATTTGCAGTCCAGTGCTGATCCTACAGTGCCACACCAGGAGTCCTTAACTTGGCTTAAGGGAAATGAAAATATCCTGAAAATACATTTGGAAATATAAACAAACCACACTGAATAATTGAAAAAGACAAATCTAAACAGACAAGTAGCAAGGGAAGAAATTGAGTGAGGAAAGGCTATGCAAGAGTCCAACCCACTGTCCTCAAGCAGATTTGGATTCATAGTGACCCTATATAGGGTTTCTGAGACTAAATTTTTATGGGGGCAGAAAACCTCATCTTTCTCCCTGGTGGGTTTGAACTACTGACACTGCAGTTAACAGTCTGGTGCTTACCTTACAGTATTCCCAGACAGCCTTATGGAAGAACAGCCTTAAAATATGAAGTCTCATCTAGTTTCTTTTATGTTAATTCTTTAAAAAAAATTTTTTTTTCAACAGATAAGTTGAATAGAGTTGAAACTGTTCAATTTACCAAGATAGGAACGCCTTAAATTTATATTTGTAAAAGAAGTCTAACATTGACATCAAAACCTGACAGGAGAAAGCCACCCTCAGTTAATCAGCATTTATGGAAAAATCCTAAAGTAGTGATAATTGTAATTCAGTAGTACTTAAAAGAAAAAAAGATGCCATTACTAGTTGAGGTTCCTTCCTGGACTGCAAAACCCCAAACCAGATCCACTGCAATGGAGTGGATTCTGACTCGCAGTGACCCTGTTCAGGATTTCTGAGGAGTGGCCTATTGTTTTGAACCTCTGATTTTGCGGTTAGCAGTCCAGTGCTTATACTACAGCACCACACCAGGACTCCACACAGCCATGGATGAGTCAACATTAGGTAAAATATATAGGCTAGAACTCCTGGTGTGGCACTGTGGATTTAATAGGCTGGGCTGCAAAGTCGGTTTGAACTTCAAGGGTGGGCAGTTCAAACTCACCAGCTGCTCTTCGGAATCCCTATACAGGGTTGCTATGGGTCGGAGCGGACTCAATGGCACTTTAACAACAACAACAGTTACTTTAATAGATGGGTTCCTGGTGTGGCACGGTTCAGGATAACGCACTAAACTGCAAGGTAAGTTTGAGCCACAAGGTCAGCAGTTCAAACCCACCAGCCACTCATTAGAAACCCTATACAGGGTCGCTATGAGTCAGAACTGCACTTAACAACACCAACAACTTTAATAGATACATAAAAAGTATTTGACAAAGTTCGACATTCAACATGATTACAAAAATAAAGGTAAAGATAGACACTGCTTTAAAATGATACATAAATATTTTGAAACCAAACTCTAGCATCATTTTAATGCTAGAACACTAGATGCATTTCCACTAAAACCATGAACTAGACAAGGATGCCTACCATCACTACGTCTACTTAGCATTGTTATTAAAGATAGAACAATGAAATTAGTGAAGAAATAGAAATAAGACACATAAATATTGAAAAGAAGATAGCATAACTATCATTATTTGTAGCTTATATAATTAAGTGGGAAGCACAGTGGCTCCGTACGATAAGCACTGGACTGTGAACTACAAGGTCTGAGGTTCAAGCCTGCTATGGCTCAGTGGGAGAAGGATGACTTTCTGCTGCCTCGAAGATTTAAAGCCTCAGAAACCCTATACAAAGTCGCTATGAGTTGGAATCAATGTTGACAGCTCTGAACAACATCAACAATATGATTAAATGAAAAATATTAAGAACAATGAAACAAAACAAAAACCCAGCCACTGAACTGATGGCAACTCATTGTGACCCTATAGGACCAGGTAGAATTGTTCCACAAGGTTTCCCAGACTGTAAATCTTTATGGAACAGACCGCCACTTCTTTTGCCCAAGAAGTGGCTGGCAGAATCAAACAACTCACCTTTTGGTTAGCAACCCAACACTCAACCTACTGAGTCACCAGGGATCCTTTAAGAACAAACTGAACTCACTAAACTTATAGACAAAAATCAATCATTTCCCTATATATTATTAAAATAAATTATTTTTAGTTAAAAATATCTTTAATTCAACCTTAGTAAAAATTATAAGTGAAAACAGAGCCTATAAATTTTAATAGCAGGAAACTTGAGAAGACGGGCTATTATTGATAGAGTGATAG